TAAAAAGGTCTTTTCTCACGAGCTTGAACGCACAAAAACAACCGCCAAAGGCCAAAGAAATATGGGACCTAAGTGCACTCCAAAGAACCCAAAAATCATATTGGTTCCATAATTAGGACAAGGCCATGTAACTCCTATGCTTAAGTTAGTGTCACGGATCGAGATTTAAGCTTCGAACCCGCATGATTTTGGGACTTGGGCATCTATTCATCCGGTGTCTCAGATCAGTCTAACTGTTACGGTTCACATCCTTGTGAGGTATTATCCGTTTTGACTCCCCTAACCTCACGATTTTGTCCTACAAAAGGTATCTCACAAGGCTGAGGTGGTGTGAACCCTTTTATACCACAGTGACCCTTCTATTATGTTCGATGTGAGATTCAGGACTCTTCCTTAGGTCCGTGACATTCTCCTGCATCCAACCTCGTGACGCACTCTTCTTTAGGTCCGTGACATTCTCTCGTACCCAACCTCGTGACGCCTTCGTCACAGAGGTTGGCCACCCTGCCTACCTTCCTCGAGGTGCTTGGCGTGGATCGAACGGTATAGAACTAGCTCTGATACAACTTGTCACGGGTCGAGACTTAAGCTTCGAACTCGCGCGGCTCCGGGACCCGGGCATCCACTCATCCGACGTCTCAGATCAGCCTAACCGTCACGGTTCACACCCTTATGAGGTATTGTCCGCTCTGACCCCCCTGACTTCACGGTTTTGTCCTACAAAAGGTGCCTCACAAGGTTGAGGTGGTGTGAACCCTTTTATACCCCAATGACCTCCCATTATGTTCGATGTGAGATTCATGACTCCTTCTTAGACCCATGACAAGTGGTATCAGAGCCAGCCCTATACCGTTCGATCCACGCCAAGCACCTCAAGGGAGGTAGGCAAGGTGGCCAGCCTCTGTGACGAGGGCGTCACGAGGTTGGGTGCGGGAGAATGTCATGGACCTAAAGAGGAGTCCTGAATCCCACATCGAACATAATAGGAGGGTCACTGGGGTATAAAAGGGTTCACACCACCTCAGCCTTGTGAGGCGCCTTTTGTAGGACAAAACCATGAGGTCAGGGGGGCCAGAGCGGACAATAACTCACAAGGGTGTGAATCATGACGGTTAGGCTGATCTGGGATGCCAGATGAATGGATGCCTGGGTCTCGGAGCCGCGCGGGTTCAGAGCTTAAGTCTCGACCCGTGACATTAGGCTTAGCCTGCCTTAACCATGGGTTCCAACCCATCATTGTAACCCCAGAGTTCATTCACCATTGGATCGTAGCCAACATGGACCCCAACGATGAAGCAAGGCTCCTGTCAATACCAGATGGCTTAGACGAAGAGGGTCCTCATGATTTCTTCGCCATTGAGAAAGCTATGGAGAATATCATGCCAATACATTTGGAGAGTCTCATTCATAAAGTTGATGCAAAAGAAGAAGGAGATGGAAGAATGGTTTGTATGGTTCTTGATTTGTTAGCATCATGGGCCATTCAAGTTGCCAACCGATGTCGGGTCCCTGCCACCGGTTTCTGGCCAGCTATGGAAGCCATTTACCGGTTGTTAGCATCATGGGCCATTCAAGTTGCCAACCGATGTCAGGTCCCTGCCACCGGTTTCTGGCCAGCTATGGAAGCCACTTACCGGTTGATTACCATCATACCGGACATGGTCCAGTCCGACCTGATTTCTGATACAGGTAAATTTGCCAACACACATGATCTTTTTTAGCGCATACTATAAATATATGTTTATTTTCTTTTTTTGATATTGCCATTCATTTTTAATTTTAGAAAATATTTTTGGTCTTCTATATGTCCAAAATTATATGATGTACAACTCACAAGGGATTAGTTTTGTTGGTCATGGAAGGAGTTTTTTCTTTATCGGTATAAATTTAAATTTTGTGAGGAGTATTTTAAAAGTAAAATTTTGAAATCTAAAAAAAATACATCCTCAAAATCACTCAATAAAAATTAGGTAAAAAAAAAAATCTAAGATCTTCCTATCACAGTAAAAAAAAATTTTATGGTGTAAATATTTATTGTTTTGTTATGTAAATGTGTTTGTTGCCTTGCAAATATAATTGGTTTTATACAAAAAAAAATTATTGTTTGAGATAAGACAAAAATGAGAGCATAAAATCATTAATGGCTTTAATAGATGCTAAGAAAAAGAAGCAAGATTATATATATATATATATATATAGGCACTATAAGATGACATTTTTTATTTGACCAAAAAAATCTAATATAATTTTATATATATATTTTTTTATAAAAACATGAGAATAAATCTTAAGTGAAGTTCCTAACATGAAACTCTTCATAATTCATAATAAAATTTGTCAGGCATAAAAGTATTTCATTTGAGTATACCTTTCATTTTCTAACTTCAATTCTCAATGTTACTTTAAAAAATAATAATAAATAAAAAAAGAAACTCTCAATGTTGGATCACTAATCTTTTTACACATGCCATAATTTAATTTATAAGGAAGTTTAACAAACTTCAAGTAAGGAAATAAATGTGTATGATCTTCAACTAAATATTAAAAAAAAAGAAAAAAAATGTCCACGGGTTGACCCAAATGCAAAATTTAAAATGTAATCTGCTTATGATCATTCATTTCATTAAAATATTTTCATCTATTTTATTATATGAGTTAGTGGTACATGAGAAATAATTTTTCAAGTTAAGATTCTCGTTATGATTTTTTTTTTTTGTCTATCATTTTTGAATATGTTTATCATCTGTTGGTGAAATCTGTACATGTCAATAATGATAAAATATGTATTAAAAGGTAATTACTAGAGAATTAATCTATAATATTCCTCTAATATTGTTGGGTAATTTCAACATTCAATATGTTGCCTTTCATGGTTACATTTATCTAAGACTTTTTAAATTTATAATTTAAGGGTATTTTGGTTTTTGTAGGATGTCCCAACATCATGAAAACATTGTGTTTTCCCTACAAGTCAAGCTTTGCTATCAACCGAAGATCTTCCATGGTTGATTGGAACCCAAGCTTCAAGAAAAGCAAGATTCAAATTTTGGAACAGAACCCTGGAACGTTCAAGAACTTCGATGGCTCCTGGTGAATTCCTTTCTCCAGGAGTACATTGATGATGATGATCATATCTCTCCAGCTGACAGTCCAATTGTTTTTTCTGTTGGACCTTTGACTAAAGCTTCATCAATGGTGAAGAATCCTAGCTTTTGGGAAGAAGATACTTGCTGCTTAGATTGGTTGGACAAGCGGAAGCCTAACTCAGTCATCTACGTTTCATTTGGGAGTTGGGTTAGTCCCATTGGAGACTCCAAAATCCAAAGTCTGGCATTGACACTTGAATCATTAAGGCGACCATTTATATGGGTGCTGGTCGATACATGGCGACAAGGTTTACCAAATGGGTATTTGAAGAGAGTTTCAAGGCAAGGCAAAGTGGTTTCATGGGTGCCACAATTGTAAGTGCTGCAACACCAGGCCGTGGGCTTATATCTCACATGGAATTCGACTATGGAAGCCATACAATGCCAGAAACTACTCTTGTGCTATCCGGTTGCCGACGATAATACATTATTCAGGTTTGGAAAATTGGAGTGAGGATTAATGGATTTAGACAAAAAGATGTCGAGGAAGCTCTGAGAAAGGTGACAGATGATGAAATGAAGGAAAGACTGATGAGGCTATATCATAGGGCCATAGGAGAAGAGACTAGTTCTAGAGTTGTAGCTAATGTCAAGGCTTTTCTTTTGGACTCAACCAAGTCTAACTCACAATTCACTTCCCTAGAAGATGTTAAACATTTTAGTTTGTGAGTTTTGTAAGAAGATGCACCAACAATGCACCAACAATGCACCAACAATGCACAATTTTACCATCAAACTTTGTTCAAAATGTGCCTTTAAATTGAATTTTTTTTAAAGTTTAATTTAAAATCTTTATTCCCCAACACTCTAACATTTCGACAGTTGAGATCCTAAACCCCTTTTTTCTTGAATAAAAAAAATTTATTCACAAAATAAGATAGCTTTTAAAATTATTTTACAACCTACTAATGAAGTTTTGATTTAAGAATAAAAAAAAAAACCCTAAATTAATTAGATTTTAAATTTAAGTCTTACTTTATATGAGTTCATTTTAATTTTATATTAAATTTATTTAATTATATTTTAATTTATTGATTGCTTAGTTTGTTTGATTGTTCACTTATGTAACACTTGATTATAATTATAATTTATAATTATAATCACATAAAAAATTTACAATTATAATTAATTGAAAAAAGATTATTTGACATCCTATTTACTCAATTGCATACATTGCTACCCTATTTTTAGGGACAAAAAATCAAATTTGAAAGAATTTATTGTCTAACCTCTTTCATATATGAATCCTTAAGAGGTTCTTCTAATAACTTAAAACTTTTGGTTGATCATTTCTGAACTTAACCGGGATTCGCAAAAGCAGAAGGAACAGGAAAAATAGGGATTCATTTAAGTGTTTCACACTAACTCAATGGCATGTTATTGCTTAAAAAAATATATAAAATAACTACCTCAGATTTCTTTTGAAAAAATAGTAAAAATAAAATTTCTTAAAGGAATGCTCCTAACATCCAATATTTTAAAGATATTTCAAAATTATATCATTTTTTTTAATAATTGTAATATAAAAACAAGAGAAAAAGGGAGAGAAGTGCGAAAGTAAGATAATAATCACACGGTCAAAAAAAGCAGCCCTATATTCAATCATCAAACACAAATACATACTTAGAAGAGTGGAAATAAGATAATGGTTTCACACTGCTTAGCCAAAACAAAAGCCATATGCACAATCTTCAAACTCAAATAAATACATAGAATACACGTATATGTACATATAAGTGCTTGTCTATATGTATGTATGTTTAAATAGAATCAGTCCATTAGTTGCGTAATATAAAAGTAACAAAACATAGAAATCAAGTTTAAGTTTGTAATTTAAGGGCATATGGCATACAATCACTTGGTGAAAAGTTCTCGGATAGGCGTTTGTCTTTTGGACTTGTGCTCTTCTATAAGCTTGTTTTGATTTTCCTTTAGAACCTTTAGCTGAGCCTCCATACTTTCAATTTTTTCGTTCCTTTCAACCTCTTCCCGATGCTGTACCACTATGAGCTTAAGCCATGAAATCTCAAAACCTGCAAGCTCCAAAACTACAATGCCCTTCTCCATAAGCTCAATTTCCTCCCAGGTGACCTTTTCTTTTGTTGCAGTTTTGCAGACTACAGCTAATGTGTTCATGAAGACATTTATTGATGTTAGGAAGTGAACTCGAAGGCCAGATGCAATGTTAGGGTGCTTGCTGAATATCTCTTGGATCATGGGGGCATTCTTCTTTAGTACCTTAAAGCCATTGACATTCACGGAATCACCAAAAAACTCTTCTAAAAAAGAACCTTCCATGATTCCCAACAACCAGCAAGTCAACATATAGTAGAAGCCATATGGTTGATGCAAAAAACAATTGTAAAAAAAGAAAGTTCATATCATCCATAATTATTTTCATTGTACTATTAAATACAATATCAATTTGAAAGTTTTATTCACTTGAAAACATTAGAGAACATTTTCTATACCTTACTTTTTCTTTCCTTTTCCTAAGCCAAGTATAATTCATTGAATTTAAAACAATCGGTGCAAACAGAGAGACCAAAAATAAATCTCCCAATACCACAATAAATAAAAAACTCAAAATTGATACATCTAGACACATATATAGAAAGGAAAAAAAGGGGGACACATTTAAAAGACAAAACTCAAACCCCCTTATCCTCTGATGCAACAAGACGACAAGACCTGAATGAATAAATTAAAAAGAAAGCTGAGGTAAAAAAGACCAAAAGACCCAAATTACTTAAAGGACAGCAAAGAAACTATCACCAATAAGACCAATGAGCTAAAAGAAAACCTTAATTCACCACCATGCCATAAACATATTAGCTCTTGCAAACACCAGACTTTACCAAAGAATATGCCTACTCCACAACCTCAAAGAATAGTCTTCCCTAGGAAAAAGCTTATATTTTATCACCTTTCCTCATCTGTAAGGACTCTCAGTTTATATGAGCCTATAATCTATTGGATAACTTCTTTTCATTCATTAACCATTTAATGCCAATAATATCAAAACACTTTCACCTTCTCTTCCTGAGAAACAATAACTACATCCATTTTCACCTTCTCTTCCTGAGAAACAATAACTACATCAAAGCAATTAGCAATATATGATCTATTTCATTGGTCAAGAAATATTTCAACTTGCTTAACATAACTTATAAGTAGTAGCTATCCTCAAAATTCACTTCAAGAGATCCTCATTCCTCTTTAAATCTTTTATGGCATAGCAACCTGTCACCGGTCTTTACAAACTTCTATGACATAGGTCTTGCTAGCAGGCTAACCATTTTGCCAAAACCATGACCCTGTCTAATTTGCTTCTTTTACTCCATGTAGGAAGGCAAACATTCTTTTTTCAGCTTAAAAATCACCTTCAACACACCAATTGCTGCGAACTCACCCTCCAGATCCAAAATTTCACACCAGAAAACTCTTCTTGCTGATAAATCACAAAGAGATTGGAAGTAACACAATCAAAACTAGATTGAACCCCACAGTCTTGTACTACCGTAATTAGTTTTTAATCAAACTTTCTTCACAAAAAAGAAAAACAACCCTCCTGAACACCTATTTGAAGGAGACAAATCCAGCTAAAATCTAAAAAACTCTATAACGTTTTTTTTTATTCCAAATCTCAAATATTTCTTTAGACTTTTCTTTATTATCTAATACAGGCATAATTACCATTGGAATATATGGAATTTATCCATAAAATTGTACATTATATTTAAATGACTATGGTGAGTATATTGGATTATACTTATCAAACAAAGTCCTTTAAGAACAAAAGTAAGGTTTTTTTTTTTTTTTAAATTAACTCAAATAAGATTTTTTGTATGAGTTTATATTTGATGCACTATCAGTATATAAGCTCTATACACTATTAGTAAATCAGATAATATCACTTCATTAGGAAGTAAATATTCGACCTTAAAATAAATATCCAAAATATTAAATTTTTTTAAAAAAACTTACTCATTAATGAGATGGTATTATTTGATTTATTTCATTAAGAAAATGACATTATTCGATTCACTGATGGTATATAAAATTTATAAACTGATAGTGCATCAAATAAAAACCTTTTCATTATATCATTTTTCCTTAATCATCTTATTTATGTGGTTCATGAGGTTATAATTACTTAGTTGTGGACTCCATATCAACTAGATTTTTTAGCTCAAAACTAGAAATGAAAAGGGGTCTACTATCAAATATCAACTAGTTTTCTTAGTTCAAAACTGGAGATGAAAATAGGTCAACTATTAGATTAAGAAGTTAAATACAAGATGTAGACGTAAAAGAGATTCTTGGGTGAAAAGAGGAAGCATTGTAATTAACTAAAATGGATGTGTCTAAAGACGAACGGAGAGGAAGACTGAAGTAGACCCTAAATTATTGAGTGCAACAATAGATAGTGGTAGGTGATGAAGCAAGGCTGATGGTGGTAGGCGGTGAAGCAAAGCAAAGCAGAAAGAAAAAGGATTTGGGAATAGAGAATTGCAAAGAGAATTTGCCAATGTCTCCAAAAGTCTCCCTAATGAGTTGTGAGAACTTTTATATCGGTTCTAAGAATAAAAGTTACATATATTGAGTATTGAATAGAAATAATGGTAAAATTGACAATTATAAAAGGTGCTAATGCTTTATCTAATAAGGGTTTAACTCTTTGTGAGAGTAAATAGTGAACATAAAAATCCATTATTTGTTCTGAAGGAGAAAAAAAATGAAAAGCACTCATACTTTAAAGAAAGGTTAAGAGAAGATCTTTTAGCTATTTCTATATTTGATCTACTAAGCCAAGCTATCCAGAGCATCCTAATAGCGAAGAAAGAAAAGTGACGAAAGAGGAAATGGGAAAGAGGAGTCTGTAAGTCCTTCGATTCCTCTTCTGATTCTTTTTTATTTTTCCCTCTCCATTAGCCTTAATTATTTCTTTTTTGACTAAAAATAGCAAGCCTTAATAATGACATATCAATAATTTTGACTAACAATCGTAAAAAGATAATGACTTGACAACTTAATTTATTATTTAACAGACACATTTTAGCCTTTTTGGTAAAAGTGTTGACTGTTATATAATTTTTAACTTGTTGTCTTCTTTATCCATTTTGTTGATTGTCTAGATTTATAGCTTCTTTATCTTTTGGATTAAAAGATGTTGGTGAAGTTATTTTTACTTATTCCACTATTCCTATCTTTTTTGATATTGTAGTAAAGAAAGAGGGTAATCTAGATCTTTCATTCTATATAGTTTCTCTAGAAATTTGACCGCTTTAGTTTCTAGCTCTAGATTATTTTCATCATAAAATTTTTTCACAAAAATCTTTTTACCATTTGTAGTAGTGGTGATATAAGGAGTTTGTGAAATTGGTCAGATTTCATTCAACAATTGTTTTGCTTTTTCTATCATGGTAATTTTAATTTGGAAACTGTATAAACTTACTCCATTAAATTTGAGAAGTTCAAAAAATGCTTTATGGACTAGATTTATTAGCATGTGATGAAGCTAAAGAAAATATAAAATTTGCTCTTTTGCAATTTAATAGAGTAAGTTTATACAGTTTTTAAGCTGAAATCACCATGATAGAAAAAGTAAGACAATTGTTGAATGAAATTTCACTAAATTCACAGACTCTTTATATCACTGGTACTACAGATGGTAAAAGGATGCTACTACAAATGGTAAAAGTATTTTTGTGAAAAAAATTTTATGATGGAAATAATCTAGAGCTAAAAATTGAAACGATCGAACTTCTAGAGAAACTATTTAGAATAAAGATCTAGATTACACTTTTTCTTTATTACTCTAATATAAAGAATGATAGGAACAGTGGAACAATTCAAGAACAGCTTCACCAGCATCTTTTAATTCAAAAGATGAAAAAGTTATAAATCTAAACAATCAACAAAATGGATAAAGAAGATAAAAAGTCAAGAATTGTATACCAAGCAACACTTTTGCCAAAAAGGCTAATATGTATCTGCTAATTAATAAATTAAGTTATCTATCTTTTTACTATTATTAGCTAAAATTATTAATATGTCATTATTAAGGCTTACTATTTTTAGTCAAAAAGAGAAAATAATTGAGGCTAATGGAAAAGGGGAAGAACAAAAAAGAATTAGAAGAGGAATCGAGGGATTGGACTAGATTTATTAGCATAGAATGAAGCTGAAAAAAATATAAAATTTGCTCTTTCATAATTTAATAAAGCAAGTTTATACAGTTTTTAAGCTGGAATCACCATGATAGAAAAAGTAAAATAATTGCTGAAAGAAATCCCACCAAAGTCACAAGACTTTTTATATGATTGCCATTGCAAGTTAGCCTTGAATTGATTCTTATTTTAAAATGACAAAATATTAAGCTAAATAAGCTTGATCAAGATTTTGAAAAAGATTTATTTAGTACATATTCTTAAGTTTTATATTTTGGTACTAAATAAATAATATGTTTGTCAAAGTGTAAACAAACCTTTCTTTATTTTCATATTTCTCAAACCAAATCTATCTTTAAACATTATTTATTTGGGCTTATATGAAAGTCCAATTATTGTTTTTAAAGTGAACTCATTCATTTTGGACTTAATACAATTTTGATAATATTGGTTTTAAGAAATAAATTAACTTAAGAAAGTTGTTTTACAAGAACAAAGTTTTCCAACATGAAACTTATTTTATTTTTTTGTATTAATTCAAAAAGTTTTAATATTTGAATTTTACATGGTTGGAAAGCTTTTTGAGTTTACTTTCTAATGGATTAAACAAAATCAAAATCCAAATTTTCTAAGAAAAGATTTTGAATTTTTACTAGACATTTTGCAGTTGTCTAAAAACTGCATAAATGATAGATTTGAAAATTCACTATAATTCATACACAAAGAATTAGGTGATAAATTTTTTTTGGATAGAAATCCCTTGAAGTCTGGTTTCTAAATCTTCAAATGGTTTATGATTTGGATTTTTATAACTCAAGTTATGATTAAATTAGTGAGTAGAGTACAAAATGAGAAACAATCACCCAGTTTAGATAGGATCAATTTTTTAAGGGAAGGGATCGATTGCTTTTTTACCCAAAAACAAATTTTCTATTGAAATGGCAAGAAGGGATCGATCACCCTATGTAGGGGATCGATCACCCCCTTAACCAATCGATCCCTTACATAAAGTGATCGATCGGGTAGGCATTTTCAAAGGCAAAATTGGCTTTCAAAAGTGAACCAATCGATCCCCTAAAGGAAGGGATCGATTGGGTCTGGGCAAGATCACTCAAACAGTTACTTTTTCATGCTTCCAAAAGCTATTTTCTTCTCCCAAACACTTCCAATGGCTATTTCTTCAATTTCTCT